CCATCATCATCAGCAATTAATTCACGCGCATCTCACCGTCCCTCGAGAGGTCTGTCTACTGTCCGTTCTGCGTAGGCGAGTTACCCTGATTCTTATGCTTCACACTCGGTTAACAGACAGGTTCCTTAACATGAGTACATTTACCCACGGGACACACCGCTGGCATGCAGAGCAGAGTCGTGAAGATCGGAGGTCGAGTAAATCCCAGTGGGCAGTCGGGTGTAATCTCTTGTATCCCGTACATAAACTGTCCGGGGGCCAGACAGAACACACACGATCGGTACACGAGCATAATCTGACGAATTATCACAACTAGCCGTCCGAAGCTGGTCAAAATTTTGGTTTCGCAAGGCCCCGGTATAATCGCAACCACAACAGGAATAATACAAGCCGAAAAGTGATTGTAGTCTGTGCTTCGAATGAGAACTCAGTCAATAGATGTATCTATCTAACACCGGCCTGCACAGTCACCGCCAGATCTGCATCACTGGTGTTTGCTTGACTCATATCCCCCTATGACTGCCGCTTTTTGCGTTGCCGTTTTCTATTTACCAAAGTTTAAAAGTTCAGAAAAATAAAGAACTGTTTACGGTTGTTGAATAGTCTTCTTGTTCGTCCCTTCCCGTACCCTGGCTTTGAACACTCAATTCCATTTAGTAAACCTGAGTCTCTCTAATCAAACTTCGACCTAGTCAAAACAGGGGGGGAATTTATTGCAGTTTTCCCGATCTCACCTGACAGCATACGCCCTTGTAGCTAGCCTGGGCAGATTGATGGCGACTGGGCTCAGGTACCGCGTAGCTTGTTAATTTGATGCTTCTGGCGTTTGTGCATATCACTGTGTGTGTGTGTGTGTCATCACACCGGGCCGGCACAGCAACCCAGACCAGGCATATGTTTGGCCAACAGCATGCTGGTCGCCCCCTTCTTTTGTAAAGTCTCCTTAAAGCATACTTCGAGGTTTCAAGTTTACATCCCCAAAAAGATGGGCAGACAGAAACAACCTACCTGTGTGCTCGTACTTGTGGCGTGCGAGGGAACTGTGCTTTGAAAAAATCTTTTGACACTGGTCGCAGGAGAAGGTTTCGCGGGCTCGTTCGGAGAAAGAAGAGGAGGAGGAGACCGATTCATTTGTCTGCGGGAAGTGAAAGAGGAGGTATGTTGAGTCACGTTAGGAGAAAATGTTGTATGCATTTATGGGGGCTAAAATCACGAATGATACAGATAATGACGATTCGCCACCTCTTTCCTCATCGGCTTAGCTTCAATTGAAAGACCACCCGAGGCCGAGGGCGCAGTGACTGGCAAAGCCAAATAACCCGTCTGTGCGTGCCCCACATAACCCGGTTTCCACTAAGTTTACTTACTGTATCCGTAGTGGTGGATCCCATACGTGCAGTATGCTGGGCGGGTAAATCGACCCAAGTGTGATCTCGCTGAAGCCGCCGAGTTTGTTATTTTACAGTTGGGTTAAATAAATTATTTCGAATTTATACTTTCAGCGCCAGAAAGGCACTGTCCGTACAAAATTAGTTTCGTAAAAATAAAAAAAGAATATGATGAGGTGCGCAGATAAACGTAAAAATTTGTAATAATGCCAGCAAAAATTGTCCTTTTAGGGCAATATTTGGCGATGTTTTGTAATTAGTGATAAACTGAAAAATACAGGCTGTTTAAAAACTCCTACAATGAAAATGGAGGCAGAGTTCAACGTGCCTCCATTTTCAAAAAACATGTAGGAGAAAAAAACTACTCAGGAAGATAGGACGGAGGAGAAGAGTAGTAGTAGGAATTCTGATTATGGTTAGTAGCCAACGAAACGGCAGCAGTTTAGACTGAGTACGTCCATATGGTTTCGTTTGATTGAGTGGTGGTTTATGGAGACATCTAGGTTCCCGAGGGATACGAGGCAGAGAAAAATAGTTTCAAGAGGACCTCCTAAATTCTCGATGGTCCTTTCTCGGAGTCATGGAGAAAGCTTTTCGGAAAAGATGAGGAGAATTATGCGCATCTTCCAAACTCCCTACAAATCGCCGAATCGTTTAAATTGCAAGACTTCCCTTTCTGAGCCAGTAGGCATTTTCGGAGGGAATTTCTTTCAAAACGTCCTCGAGAACAGTAAGTTGGTTATTAATTTCTGCAATATATATATATACGTTATTCTCAGCACTGAAAACAATTCCAATGCGTATTACTTCAATAGTACTCGTCCGAAGCGGAGTGAAGTGCATGCTGCAAGAATGGCGTTGAGGTAGCTTGACACCTAGCGACAAATTTGCAGAGTTTCAGTTGTTTTTTGAATTAATACCGCGCTGGGGGGGGCATTCTTCGGCCGTGGTTGTTATGGCAGTCCTAGCCCACGTCCGGTCGACTCACTGTCGGAGTAAGGTGAGCGAAGTCGGTTGCTCCAAAAAGTACTTGACGCTCAATTCTTCCCGTAATTCCTGACGATCTGAAGTTATATCAGTGAATTTCGCCTGTTCCGGTTTCAAGATGACGAGGGCCTACTCTATGCGCTATCATTTTGCAGTTTGCAACACTTCTGTTTGCTAAAACTGCCTGTTTAACATTCATAAAAGTTCTGTATGTTGCAGAGGCTGTTAAAAGTATGGCAGTTTAAGTTTCCCTAATGTCCGTATCTTTTTTCGGTGAAGCTTGCCCGACCTTCTATAAGGTTCCGATCCGACACAAAAGGGTGGTAAAAGTGGCGCAAAACGAGACAGTGGTAGTATTGCTGCGCTAAAACCCTTTACAGTCGTGCAGTAGAGAACGATATTACTCGTGGAGGCGTTCGCTAAACTTAAACCGTCGGTAAACAGAGTCGACAGTTACTTCAGCCCGCCTATCGAACAACACCTGCTACTTGTTGCCTGAAGCGACAGCTTGTGCGAAAGGTCGCGGGCCTTTTTAACGGACTGAGTCGAGGCGAACTTGGTCAGTACAAACACACCGGGACACATGCATCCACCCG